TAGTGCGTGCTGCGCATCACAGTACGCGGGGTGCGGCTTCCCGCCCGTAGTGCCGTGTGCGCATCACAGTACGCGGGGTGCGGCTTCCCGCCCCTAGTGCCATGTGTTGGCTCAGTCGTGGATATCGCCATACATGTCACCATTGACAGGTAATTTTTCATTTCTCGTTTTTTACGTATTTTGCCCCCCCCCTTCCTTATCTCACACCTCTGTCATCTCCCACCCTCCCACACGGTCTCTGGTACCTACAGTTGCTTTCCGTGCACTCCCCCTTTTTTCACACTTTATTGATTCACTACAGATCTTAATTAATCTAAACAGTTTCAATAGCAAGTGCACACAGCTGTGCACATACTTCTGACTTTAGACAGGACCCTCAGTGAGTGGAATGGGCCCCTGTGAAGCACACCTAACCGGTGTGGATAGCTTACTGCAGTCATTAAATAGCTACTTTTAACACACGTTTTGATTTCAAGAAATTGTAGTTTTAATAGAGGAAAATAAAAAAAAGTTAAGAGATATTTGCTTAAGACTTAAAGTCAGGAGAATAGGACTCAGTTCAAACCGTAGGTAGATGAACCTGTCCACAGTGTAAGAGAACAGAAACCCCTAAGTCCGGACAACAAAGCACAGAAGCAGCAGTAATACTTAGTCAAAGTATTAAATTCTATTTCACCAATTCAGTCCCTTGAAATTAATGTCTCTAAATATTTGCGTTTTTACTATTCAAATGTGTCAAACTTTTTTGATAAAGCTCCTGGCCGTCTGTCTCGATGGAGGCCCATCCGGGGGCCTTTGCGAAGCGCACAGTTCCAGGCGACCGCGTCCTGGTGGCATCACATGGGAAGTGTGTGGCTTCGTCGTTAGGCTCCACACTTCAGCCAACCTTCTGTCCTGGGTACCTTCTTTATCGTGGGGAATAAAGCATCTTCTGTACCTCTCAGAGTTTGGGGATGTCTTTTCTTATTTTTCCTAAATTTTTAAATTCGTTTTTGGCAGTTGTGTCTCTTCTACTTTTCTGGTTTTTTGTTTGTTTGTTTTTTAGCTATAGGGTGCGTGCATTTGCCAGACAGACACAGAGAGACAGAGAGAGAGAAAGGGAGAAATCACCCCCCAGGGGGGATGGCCATGCCACAATCCCTTCTCCTCCATTCTCCTCTCGGGATCTTGGGCACGCACGCACACGCGCACAGCGTGAGTTTAAGCCACTGGGTCCGGGACGCGAACCATGGTCAGCTACCTGGGAGTCCAGCGACATAGCCATTATGCTAACAGCTGGACCCTCTTCTACTTTTCTTGCAAGGTTTTTTTAAATTTTTTACTTAGGAGAGATTTTTTTTTTCTTTTTAGATTTTTTTTTTTTTTCTATAGGGCATGTGCGCTCGCCAGACAGAGAGAGACATAGAGACAGAAAGTGAGAAATCACCCCCCAGATGGGATGGTCACGCCACAATCTCGTCTCCTCCGTTCTCCTCTCGGGATCTTGGGCATGCACGCACACGTGCCCGGGGTGAGTTTTAAGCCACTGGGTCCGGGACGCGAACCACAGTAGACGACATGAGAGTCCAGCAACATAGCCATTATGCTAACTGCTGGATCCCCCCCCTTTCTTATACAGAAGTATACCAAGAAAAACAGATAGTACTGTAATTCCCTGTCCAAGTAACCCTTGGTAGACTTTACTGATTTTTTTGTTTGTTTTTTAGAAAGATTTATACATTTGGGCACATGCACTTACTGGAGAGACCGAGAGAGACAGAAAGCGAGAGACCACACTCTGGGGGGATGGCCATGCTGTAGTCCCTTCTCCTCCATTCTCCTCTCAGGATCTTTTTTTTTTTTTTTGGAGAGGTTTTTTTGCTATAGGGCGCGTGCGCTCGCCAGACAGACAGAAAGCGAGAAATCACCCCCCAGGGGGGATGGTCAGGCCGCAATCCCTTCTCCTCCATTCTCCTCTCGGGATCTTGGGCACACACGCACACGTGCCTGGCGTGAGTTTGAAGCCACCGGGTCCGGGACACAAACCGCGGTCGACTATGTGGGGATTCAGCGACATAGCCATTACGCTAACTGCTGGTTCCCTCCTCTCAGGATCTTGGGCACACACGTACACATGCCTGGTGTGCACTTAAGCTGCCGCGGTTAACTTCCTGGGAGTCCAGCAATGTAACCGTTATTACTCCATCAGCTGGCCCCTGGTGGGTTTTGTTTGGTTTGGTTTTTGTTTTCTTAGGAGAGAGATTTTTGCAATAGGATATGTGTGCTTGCCAGACAGAGACAAAAGGTGAAAAATCACCCCCTGAGAGGAAGGCCACACCACAATCCCTTCTCCTCTATTGTCCTCTTGGGATCTTGGGCAGGCACGCACACGCACCTGGCGTGAGTTTAAGCCACCGGGTCTAGGACTTGAACCGCGGTCGACTCTGTGGGAGTCCAGCGAGGTAACTATTGTACCATCTGCTGGTCTCAGTGAGAAATCATCCCCCAGGGCTGATGGCCATGCCGCAGCCCCTTCTCCAGTGTCCTCTGGGTCTTGGGCATGCACCACACGCACCTGGCGTGAGTTTCCAGCCACTGGGTCCAGGACACATACGGTCGGCTGTGGGAGTCCAGTGACAACGATGCCACCTGCTGGTCCTTTTCGTTCCCATAAAGAGATTTTCGCTTGTGCACTCACTGGAGACACAGATAACGAGAGAGAAAGTGAGAAATCATGCCCCAGAGGGTTGGCCACGTTGCGGTCCCTTCTCCATTCTCCTCTCGGATGTTGGGCACAAACATAAGCCTGGTGTGATTTTTCAAGCTGACAAGCCTGGGATTTGAACTGCAGTTGGCCATGCAGGAGTCCAGCACCCTAACCACTGGCCCCACTCCTTGTGGACTTTAAAGTGACCCTCCCATGTCTGGCATGTCCTGCTCCCCCACCTGTGGTGGACTGGGACCCCTTTGCCTTGGCGCCCCTCGCCTCGCCCTGGACTGCACCGCATATGTGGGAGGGACGGTCCTGCCTCTCCCGTGTCCTCACTGCCCTGCCTAGCCCATAAGGCAGGCCTGGCTGTCTGTGCGGCGGCACGTGGTGCTCGTCCTGGGGGTTACTGCAGTGCTGCTCGAGCGACTCAGGCGTGTAGGGTCACGTGTGTGAGGTGTGCCCTGGTAGTCAGGCCCAGTGTGCTGGTGTAGGTGTGGGTCCCCACCCGGTGGGCGAGAGCTGCAGGACCATGCCGGCCGTTTGTGCATGGACGCCCCAAATCCTGAGAGGACAGATGCCGAGGCCAGCTCAGCATGAACACGCTTCTCTGAGTGGGGAAGACTGCAGATTAGAAATAGACGCAATAACAAACACACACAAAGACACACACGTTTAGAAAAGCGAGGATCGGGTGGGCACAGCTTCTCTGATGGAGAAATTGCAACCAGAACCAGCCTCAGGTTTATTCTTTTATAGGGCAGAGAATGGGGGAAGGGGAAAATGGGATGCAAAAGGAATGGGGAAGAAGGAAGTGGAATGCAGAGAATAAGGGAGGAGAAATTGGGATGCAAAGCCAGTTGTTTTTGGATGTAAATCGACTGAAGATGTGAAAATGACTGGCCATTTGATTTCACAGATCTCTTGGGGGAATAGTCTGAAAAAGGCTTGTGGCTTCCTTTGGCCTGATACTGGGCAGTATGGAGGTATTGAGTTTCAAGAAGAGCAGGAAGACAGCTATTGGCAGCAGGCAGGTACTGCCTTCCTGTGTGGATGCTTCTCATAGCCCCGCTGGAGTAGCTTAG